ATATATATAATGTTAACCAAAATTACTTTTATGGTATTTAATGAGATGTTACAATTTTTTATGTGTATGTTACTTTAATGGTATTTAACGATGTTCATAAGAATGTGTTCATAACCATAAGGTCGTTATAAGAATGTGCTTATAAGTGTTCATAAAGTGTTAAGAGAATGTGTTCATAAGATCATATTCATAACCATATAGTGTTCATAAATGTTCAATAAGATTGTTCATACGTGTTCAAATGCCATAATCTTTTTTACAGATGCCCCTGTTCAAGAATGTTCACCAATGTTTTTTTTTTTCTGTTCAGTTTTCATTTATTACAAATATGTCATGATTAATTTAATCCATATATTTTAATATGATTAAGGGATAAGATTGGTTTACACAGTTAATATCAATTATTGGGTTAATAAAAGAATCGACCCCTAAGGGGGTGTTTGGAATTGTTTATCAAAACTGCTTATTAACTTATTTTAGTCTGGAAACTGAGATAAGCAGTTTTCTAGTATTTGGGTAAGGAAAAAAAAACTGTTTATACCGGTGCCAAACCGATAATAAGCAGTTTTTGATTAGTAAATCCGTAGTGACTTATGAAAATCGACTTATTACCGGTTTACCATTTTAACCTTGTGTAACACCTATCTCTAATACACAACGTATACATATCATCATCTTCACGAACAGAACACAACACATACATCTCATCATCATCTTCAAGAACAGAACACAGCACATATATACACACAGCACATACATCTCTCATCGATATCTTTCTCCAGATATCTCTTCACGAAACCATCACCGTCTATCCTTCCGATTATCATCATCATCATCATCATCATCATCGATATCTCTTCTCCATATATATCTCTTCACGAAACCATAATTGTCTACCCTAACCCACCAATATGAACCGATACGATTCTACCCTAACCCCAGAAATCGATACCCTAACCCAACGTCTACCCTTCCGATTATCATCATCATCATCGATATCCCTAACCCAATACGAACAAAGATCGATACCCTAACCCACCAATACGAACAGATACATCGACGCAGATACGATACTGTGTAAGTCCTTGATTTCCCTCCTGTTAATCTCGTTGTAATTTGGGATTTGATGAATTCGGACTTCTCATTAGTATATTCTATTGTTTTCTTCCTGAAATTGTTCATCGTTTTTCTCAACTGCTATAATCACCAAAGCTGAAGCCTGTCTGTTCTTGTTATTCGTTTTTCTTTTGTCAAAGAGTGCTTATTATTATGAGATTCTACAAACATATAATTTCAAACAAAGTTCAACATCTAAACCATTGAATTGTTACCCTACTGCTCATGATAAATTTAGGCACACTGTTGAGTAGTTTTCTAATATCCAAACACATGTCTTGGTACTTAATTTACTACCTAAACCTGCTGTCTTGCACATAGAAAGTCTTTCCACAAAGGTAATTGAAAAGGACAACTTCTTGAAGTGGAAAGAGTAGCACATCATATAGCCAATTACTACAAATGTTTGTTAATTATTCTTATAAATTATTAATCTTATTCATATAAATTTTTGTCATAAATATTATTATAAATGATGAAAAACATTTTTTTATATGTTAAAAAATCAAATAAGTTAATAAGCAATCTCAAACACTCTCATAAGTCAATAATATGGATGATTGTCTTTTTTGGTCAATTTATCAGCTTATTGCAGTTTGGTACCGTTATAAACAAAATTTACAAAACTTCGATTTGATACCACATAAGTTAATAAACACTTTTAAATACATACATGTGCGTAGAAGCATATTGCAGCACCCCATGATCGATCTCCACCTCTGGCGAACTTGCCGTGTCCATCGCCGCCCCCTACTTCAAGCTCCTCCGAACAAATCCCTTCTCTTTCTCCCCCTCCCTCTGACTCAGGGTGGGCAAGCAGGGCGACGGCGATCAAAGCTCAGGGGCATCAATTTAAGCCTAGTGATATTATTACTAGTAAAAAGTTTCTAAGTGTTCATAAGATCATATTCATAACCAGCCCTTCACCCTTTGCCTACTCCTTCCATGCAACGGTGAACTCCGTCCGACCGTCCCCCACCGCATCTTGGCTCAACGTAAAATAAAGATTGTTGTTCAAAATCATGAAATTACTTAAGTAAATGGAAAACAAATTACTAAAATCAATACACAGACATGGGTGAGGACAGAATTGAGAGAGCGATGGCTGTTCAAAATGAAGAATACACATCCCTGGTTTTGGATCCAGAAAATACACACACATACAAGCAGATCATCGAGGAGATGAAGTTGCCCTAGTTCCATGTGTCGCACATGGATGTGGTGGTGACGGKGATGAAGAAAGGGGAAATGGAATGAGAATGGAAGTCGGGGAGGAGTGAGATCGACAGCGATGGAAGGGGAAGAGAGGGGGGGCGGAGAAGAGACGGCTCCGGAGAAGACGAGTCGGCATCGGCGGTAACATTCTTATATATATAATGGAAATCGAGTGGAACATTTTCAAATCTTACCRTCATATGCAACCAAATGAAATTTACTCTACGGTATAGGTATATATAGGTGGAGGTTTAAATTATTTAATCAATAATTAAAATTAAAAAAATAAAATAATTAATTAAGTATTTATCTGTAATCATGGTGACATTCTTATCCTGAAAATCACGTACAAATAACATTCTTATTGATATCAAATCAGTATCACATTATTATCACAATAAAATCACATAATGAACATACAAAGCGATGATTGTAGACGCGAACATTATTGGTTTTCAATTATTATATTGTTATTACAACAAAATCATATAATTTATCAGATCATTATCACAAAATCATATCATAAAAAATCTTCAATTTATTAAAGCATTATCCACATTATTATCACAACTAGAGGTGCTTATGGGTTGGGTTGATCGGGTTGAAGACATTTGAACAACTCAACTCAATGCTTGCGGTTTGAAAAATCTTAACCCAACCCAACTCGTACGAGTTGGTCGGGTTGATACTTTGGTATATTAAAACATTCTTCTAACCTTCAATATGTTATTTATCTACTCATAATTTCTTTTTCATCATTAATCATTTGATACAACTTATCCATATTTCTTACGTATATATATCACATTCAGTTAATTTCCTCAATTTTACATATATATGTTCAAAGTTACTGAATATATATACGAATAAGTTATATAGAGATGTGAATAAATTGAAAA